TAATTATTATCACTGCTTTCTATTCATGCTTTCACACCCTGCCACATTTCAGGCTGAATAATCCAACGTTTTCACACAAGCCCTGTGCACACATACAAACAGCCTTACTGCTTCTCAGACCTTAGACTGTCCTAGATTCAGGTCTCCAATTGGGAAAAATTGATGGCTTGAGCTTGTTTCCTTCCAAAAGGACAATGCTTTCTCCTACAACCTGAGGCACAATTTATAGCCAACATCTGTGGAGAGCTGTGTTGATTACTTTTCAATCAAGCGAGATAAACACTAATTCAATTTGTTTTATGTATATATTTATTTATGAGGATCTGTAAAATTACAGGCTTCTTTCATGAAGCGTGAATGACTGACAGTTCTCTGACAGCTCGGTTTGGGCCGACTGTTAACTGTCAAGACTTAAACATATAAATATATCAACACAGATTAAAACAGTGAATTCTGGCAACACACAGAGAGGCTGGAAGGTGTTTGTCTTTGAATATCAAGCTTCACAGGGGAGCCTTTTTCTTTGTTACAGTAAATAATACAGTTCACACACTGTTATTGACTTTGAGAAAATGCATTAGTCCAACACTAATTTGTTGCAGCTGTGCCGAAACATACTCTTGGACTTAGCATCATGGACAAAAATCTATCTAACATACTAGAATGTGAACCCTCATTCATCATTATACAGATTAGTTGCATTGATTGATTTACCAACTGGAAAAAAAAATTATTTTACAACAGAAGTATACTGTAGGTTTGTTGCATTAGGTGAATTTCTGACAGCAAAGTGCATCTAGCACTTCAAATTTATAAGAAATCTGAACTTAAACAACAATCCATTCATGAATTAATTAACATCCATAAGCTGGTGCCTATCTCCGTATCTTTAACATTCAGTTGGCGGGAGGCGTTCAGGTCACAGTCCATCACATGGCAACACAGAGATATACAGAGCAAACAACAATGCACACACTCATTCATAACTAATGGCAATTTGAAATACACTACACTCTAAAAAGTGTATTTGGACTGCAGCTCATTATTTACAGTAATTTACATTATTTACATATTCATATGTATTATTTACATTAATTTCACTTAATTCTTTTTGCTTTTGCTATGACAGCTTTCTTTTTTGTGTTCATTTAACTCAAAACTTACAAATCTTTAACCTAAAGGAACTTTCCACTTTGACTTAAAAGAATTGAGTTCAATGCCAGTTTTGTATCCTATGTCTGATCAACTAAATTTATTCTGATCATCCAACTCGATTCACTAAGTCCTTCCATCTCAATTTGCTAAGTTTTTATAACTTAATTCATAAGGGGGTTCAACAGGACAAATTTAAGTCAGTGGTACTCAAATAATTTATTTTGTTCTAATAAAGATTTAAAATCTCTTTGACTTAATTCTACAGAAAGTCAACTCAAACTTTTAATTAGCTCCAAACTACATATTTTGGGCTGCAAACTTCTTAGTTTGCAGTCTAATACTCTATTTACTTATAATTGTAAGTAAGAGTAAATACACTCTTACTTAAAAGTTACAAATCTTTTCTGTAAATGACCTTTTTACTTTGACTTTACTGGAAATAATTAAGTTTGATACCATATTTGTATCCTACGTCTGGCACCATGACTCAAGCTTCCCAGGTAAGCGACTGTGGCTCTGTGGGTAGAGTAGTCGTCTTGTGATCAGAAGGTTTTAGGTTCGATTCCAGCTTCCTCCTGTCACATGTCAATGTGGATATCGGTGTGTGAATGTGACTCTAGTGTACGTTGTAGTACTTTGAATGGTCAAATGACTGGAAAAGCTCTATATAAGTTCAGTCCATTTACCATTTTTTGAAGTAAACTAACTGATTTGAGTAAGACTGACTTAAATCTGTTATCTTAAACATGCTTAATACATTTGTTAAAAAAAAATAACAAATTGAGTTGGATGATTATAATATGTTGAATTGGTTAAACTTAATAAATTAAGTTGGATAAACTTAATTGAATTGCTTGTTACCTATAGAATACATTTCATTGGGATTTAATGGGAAGATCAACACAAAGTGGTATACAATTTTGAGGTAAGAAAGAAAATTATAGATGACTGAAGGAAGTTTATTCAGTTAATATCTGAACAAACAATGTCAAACAGTAAAAATAGAATAAAGAGCCGTTTTGCAATATTAAAAGGAGCAGTATGCTATTGAACTGCACACTGATGGTTATTTTATGAACCTGAAGAGTTGAGGAGAATGACTGTGAGCAGAAGTCTATGCCTTCATCTAATCAGTGGTCCAGAGTCAGTCCTCAATGATCGGTATCCAACATCTTTTAGTTTTTTCCCTGGTTAAACACAGCTGAATAAAATGATGGTTAATTTGCAGAACCTCTTTGGAAATATGACTTGCTGAGGAGACAGTTGGACTGTTTGAATCAGTTATGATGGAGAAGAGGCATTTAAAACTAGCATCATTCAACCCCTTAGGAAGGGAGCTGGACTCCCATGGACTAAAGTGTGACAGTGGTTATCAAAACAAAGAGAAGCAACAAAGAACATATTTTTGGTGTTCAATTTTAATAATAAAGCTGAGAGTATTTACAGTTTTTCCTCTTCAATCAAGCAGGGTAAGTCGCAGTAGCACAAAGGTTTTAAACATGGAGCTCACAACATTTTAATTGGTAGTTGGTGTCCATGAGTTTCCATTTAACTTCCAGTGCTGTCCTTATACCCAACCAATAATTAGCACCAGATTATTGGGGATCAAGTATATGACTGTCTGGAGGAATATAAACACTATAACTAGCATAGTACTGGAACTGTTTGATACAAAAAATAAGGCTTTGGGATCATTACTAAAAATAACTAAATGATTACAAAAAATATCTGGCTGTTTGTAAGAAAATACTGAGAATGAGTGAAAACATGTAAACCAGTGCTAACCTAACAAAGTCATTACTGTGCTGAAACACATTCAATTAAATTATTAGTATAGGACCATCATTGCAACATAGATTTGTGACCTTCTCCATGCTAAAGCTGTAAAGACAGTGCCATGTGAGTGTTGAAGTAAAGTCTTTGATTTAGATATGAAGCTATGAATATTTTCTTGTCTGTACACAGATTTCATGCCAGCTGCCTTACTCATGTACTTAGAGCTATGCTCTGTGGTGATGACCTTCTGTTTCCCCCGTGTCTTGGTTTGTAGACGGATGCCGCGCTGATGTACGACGCCGTGCATGTGGTGGCCGTGGCTGTGCAGCAGTCTCAGCAGATCACCGTCAGTTCATTACAGTGCAACCGACACAAGCCTTGGCGCTTTGGAGCGCGCTTCATGGCCCTCATCAAAGAGGTAGATCCTAGTCTACATGTTCGACATTTAACTACAATCCTCTGTATACTCTGCACCATCACACAGAAAACACATTCTCTCAGAAAAGCAGACAAAGTTGGAATGTAATCAAGATGACCAAGTGAAGATGGGGAAATGGGAAATACAAATATTTGATGTGTGTTTATATGGAAATTCAATTTTATTCAATCTGGCCAAACAAGATATCTTTTTTTCTGAAAAGGCAAGCCTTAATCTGCAGTATTTACTGCTTTATAACATCTGGTCCATGTGAACACGAAGTATTGAGATGCACCCACAAAATGACAACTAGAAGAGCACACAATGAGATCAAGTCATGTTAGTCCCACCGTTTCCTCTCATCCAGAACTCAACTTCTTCTCACAGTCCTTTCCCATTTCCTCTGGTGTTTTTATTTTTGTGTTAAGACCATAGTGATAAAGGCAATTATCACTACTACATTAACATTTTATGTCTTTTAATTGTGCAATGTAATATCAACCTTTATACAAGACACTTTAAGTGAATAAGTTAATGCAGGAATTCAGAAGAGCTACAAAAGACAAACAGAATAATCTGTAGTTTCCACTGATTGATTGGTTGATAATATAAAGAAACTGTTCTACAAACTAATTCATTTACTGAAAAAGGAATGTATTGAAGTCAATGCTTATACTTGCCTCCTCTATTCAGTCCATAAATCTATGGTAAATGGTATGTACTAGTGCTTTATCAAGTGTAGAAGAACCCAAAAAACTTCACACCACATTTAATCATTCACTCATTCACACACACATTCACATACTGATGGTGGTAAGCTATTGGATAGTAGCCACAGCTGCCCTGGGCAATCTGACAGAGGGAAGGCTGCCATGCACCAGCAGGTAAAGCAGGTGACTGTCTTGCCCAAGGACTCAACAACAGAGGTAGACAGAGTGGGAATCAAACCATCAACCCTCCAATTTTGTGTTTCCAAGTGAAACACATAACATACAGTAGATTAAATACACACAAGTGAAAGACTGAAAGTTTTTATTTCTATTAATTATGATTGTTTTTACTTGTAGTTAATGCAAACATGACTTTAAAAATTAGAATACTACACCAGACCAATAAAAAACATCTTTAATACAGAAATGTTGACTAAATGAAAAGTGTTTTTTATACTTGCTTAAAAATTGTCAAAATAACAAGACTTGAGGAGGCTGCCCTCTATCATAAATGCTTGATGGCCATTACTCCTTTTAAGCTACTTTTTTCAAATGATGAATGAAATCACCATTTTAAAAACTGTCATGTTGGGTTCTAGTCTCTTTACCCACATACAGAACACAATCAGGAGAACAGACAGATAAATAAAGTTTATTATAACGATGAAAAGTGGGATTGTATGATCCTTGTCCTTGTGGATGGCAACCAGGGTCGTCTGTACTCTGAAGAACAGTGAGAGAAATGGTGAGTTTGAGGTTTGTCGGACAATGGAGCTTCAGGGAAAAATGGACTGATCTTACTTGATAGGAGCTTCCACCAGGGGGGAAATTACTGTGTTCTCTGGGGTTATGGTCTCTCTGTAGGGGTCTTTGTGATGATCCAGGTTCCAGTGCGAGGTTCAGACGGAGAGAGGTCTTTGGTGGTAGGTGAGGAGGAACAAGGAGCGATCCGACTGCCAACTGAGAATCCAGGAGCTATTAATGATTCATCTGCAGAGGCAAAAAGGGACTCGGGCAACCAGTGGGTAACAATCCACAGCATCACGAGGGGGAAATCCAGAAAGCCAGGAATTCGAGCTTCACAGGGGTTAAATCCAAGGCGTCACAAGGAAACACCTGAGGGAAAGGCAACAGGAATATATTACTAGAAGTAATCTCAGAAAAATACAGCGCAAGCTCAGAGGTACACAGAGTACCATAACTGGCAAACACTCAGACGTCGCAGTACTGGCAGCCTGCTCTTCATGTACTCCTAGATGATTAGGTGATAGATCACAGGTGCATTGATATCAGTCAGCAGGCACGCCCTCCAAGATGGTGCAGCCTCTTGGCACCATTTAGTGGATGAAGAGGGAAGCAGCAGACAACAGAAAATCCCCAACAAACAGCCAAACCCTGGTTCCCAACAGAAACTGCATTTTATATTTACACAAGCTTGTTTGTCTGATATTAAAACGAGTTTTTGTCAAACTTAGGAGTTTCAAAAAATGAACAAATGAAAACAGAACAAACATGTGAATAAAGTAAATACTATAAAACCATCTAATATGATCCCAAATAAGGAAAATGTAAATATCTAAAATGAGACAGAAAAAACATGTAATAGACTGGCAACATGTTCAGGTTAACCCCCCCCCCCCCCTCCCCCTCGCCCATTGACCACTGGAGATAGGCATCAGCACCCATTTGCGACCCCACTAGGGATAAGCGTGTAAGATAATGAATGAATGGATTTTGAAAAGCAAAAATAATTGTGTTAGGGTGACTTACAGTGAATGTTTTTTTTAGTACATAATACAAATTTACAATGACCTCCACTGAAGTAAAACATTCTCAGATATGCCACAACACTTCTGTAAATGAAGAGGCACTCAGACACAGAGCCACCCGCTGTAGGGTCAGAAAGGTTTTGAGTAGCTCACAGAGGAACTTCCAGATCTGTTGCTCCCACTCTCTGATTCAAACATGGGCCCTGAAGTGCATTTCTGCCTGTCTGGAGAAACTGTCATGATTTGCCAAGTCATCTCTGTTGTGAATCACTTTCATGCTACAATGTATTCTATTGTGGCTCTAAATATCTGTAAAGATAGGATAATTGCTTTCCCACTGTTACAGACTTGGAGTCTGTTCAGACACCCTGAAACAGAAAACACTGTATGCAAACAGAGAAAAGGAAGATTTCTTGGATGTTTCTTTCATGGCTGACATCAAACCAATAGCAGAGAGGCAGACTTGATGTTGCTGGGTTGTTGTCTTCTCTGATGATCTGAGTCTTACTCCTTCTGTCTGCAGGCACACTGGGATGGCTTGACTGGAAGAATCTCTTTCAACAGGACCAATGGCCTGAGAACAGACTTCGACCTTGATGTTATTAGTCTCAAAGAAGAGGGTCTTGAGAAGGTTATGTATTTTCTGATTTGTGTGTGTGTAAATCTTCAGTCTTCAAATACATAATTAATATGAGTTGGACAAAGAAAAAACAGTCAATCTGTGTACCAGAGTGAGTGTAATTAGTCAATGATCAGTGTGAACATTGTGTGTGTATGTGACCTGAAGTCAGAATGTGCTCAGTCTCTACATAAAAATTCTAGCTAAAACACATGTTAATCATCTCATCTCACAAAACCTCCTAGGCTTTTAGTGACATCAGAGATCATTTGGTCTATTAGTCTTCATACCTGAACAAACTAATCCATTTCTTATGGATTTTGTGTGATACACAAAAGCAAAATAGTGCCTGTTTGTGAAATTGAAGGAGGATCATACATGCTTTTTTTTTCAGAACTGTTACAAATAAAAATATGAATGCATATCTATTTGACCCAATTTACCCCAAACAGAATAAAATGTGTTTATTGTTAAATAAACTTAAACCCCATCTTTCCTATGTGAAATTAAACCCGTGTCTTTCAACTTTGTGAGTTAATGTTTTCACATTCATGTGAAAATCTGATGTGATGGCACTGTAGAATGTTTTTATACACACAGGAAAAAAGTGGGATAACTCTGTTATTCACATAATGAACTATTCAGAGTTAATTCTTAAATACCAGACATTCTAATTGATTAGACCAACACTTGAACAAAAGTTGCGTTAGCTCAGTTAGCTTAACTAAACTAAAACTGTCCAGACATTGTAGTTTGTTCATGAAAAAGATCATTATTTCTCAAAAACTATATGTGACGTATAGTATTCTGATATGTTTTTTAACTGCCATAATTATTGATGTTGTTCATGGGATGTGATGAGGGTTAAACACATGAAAGTTGGAGTGAATGTGCAAACTACTTTCCTCTACTTTATTTATTTAATTTTTTTTTTTTTTTTTTGATTTATGTTTTCAGACATCTTGTCACTTTCTGTGAATCCCCTACTGGATATAACTGCCTTCCATATTTGGAGATTTCTGATGCATCCCCAAATGAGTAGAGACATAGAGATGAATTAATATAAGATTTCAAGGCTGGTTTTTAATCTCCAGTTTTTGCAAGCTTTGATCTGCAGAAACCCATTTTAACAGATTCTAAAGTGAGATGTAAGCATCTGTAACAGCTTCCAAAATGTTTATTCTTGCCTTCCTGTTCTAAGCAGCCATTAATTATTTACATTGGGAGCCAAGGTAGTCACACTGGGTTTGTAAGAAAGAGGTGGCAGCTAAGCAGCTTTGTACAAACTATTTTCAAACCAGACATTTCAAACTACACATACTAAGCTCAGAGTCAGAAGGTCATATTTTATGCATAATAGTTTTATATTGTGTAAATGATAATTTCTGCTACTGATGACCCTCCAGAAGAATCCTTAGAAGGGTACATAGTGCTCACACATTGTTCACAGCTAACAACCAGGATAAAAAAAATAAAACCTGTGCTTGAGCTTCAGCCTTCCCATCAGTACATTTTGCTGATTTTTTTCCAATTCATCTGTGAAACATTGCTCCAACTCCACATCCAAAATGCTGAAATGCTTTACATGTTAGAGCCTGGTTTGTACTTCTGCAGAAATGTGTGATGTCTTGGTCTTTCTCTGGCTTTCTGCGATTGCTTTCAGGTTCACCAATCATCTGCGTTACATGATGCTTCCTTTTCCCATTTGCTTCTTAAGTGTTTAGTCACAACTATGCACAGCTATTATTCTGCCACTTTCCAAACTACTTTTGTGAATAATAGTAAAAATAGTAAAGAAGCTGATCCTACAGTTCTTGACTGTTCTTAAAATGTCTGTACAGAGGGAGAAACCATACATGATGTGACTGCAGATTGGGCAGGCAACCTGTGGACTGGGAGACAATGGGCATCTGTAGCATTACCATTTGGCTGTGGGGTGTGAAAGCAGGAAAACCTGTGTGAAGCCAACAAAACATTCTCTTATACTCCAATCCACCCTGTTGATCATTTATGATCACTAGAAAAATACGTATTAGAGCAGTAATATCCTTAATGCTATAAGAATAAACCTGAGGAACATGTTGACAATAAACTTGGTATGTAAATTAACAATTACCCTTTAATACAACCCTTACACACAAGTAAGCACAAAACCAGGCTCAAATGAAGACATAAGGGGACACACCAGAATTGTCATTTATCTCCTCAGATAGTGATCTTAATCCTTCTAGGACCTTTGCAATCAACTCATCAGGAGCTGTATTATTTGGAATGAAATTATAACCAAAAAGACTGCCTGTCACCACTTAATCTTTTGCTTCAGATATATTCAGAATTCTGAAAAACACACCAATAGCATTGACGTACACTCTTTTGTCAAAGGAACCAAAAAACTACAGATGCTTTGTTATGGGGGCTGCACAGTGGTGCAGTTGGTAGAGCTGTTGCCTTGTAGCTAGAAGGTTCTGGGTTCAATTCCCAGCCCCAGGTCTTTCTGCATGGAGTTTGCATGTTCTCCCTGTGCATGGTGGGTTCTCTCTGGGTACTCCGACTTCCTTCCACAGTACAAAACCATGACTGTCAGGTTAATTGGTTTCTCTAAATTCTCCCTAGGTGTGTGCGCACGGTTGTTTGTCCTGTCTGTCTCTGTGTTGCCCTGCAACAGACTGGCAACCTGTCCAGGGTGACCCCGCGTCGGTCCTTCACCTTGAAGTTCCTTCCCTCAGGGGGGGGCACCAATTTATGTTTTCGCATCCAACCTGAATAATGTGCAGTTGCGCCACTGGTCTTACTGCATTCATTCTCATCACATCAACAACTTCATGACAGCCTAGTCTTATTCCTGTGAAGAGAAGTTTGACTTTCTGACAGCATGGTCATCTTATCAGCTTGTTCAATATCATGCAGTTCCTGTGTTTATGCAGCCATTAAAATTTAATGATAAGGTCACCCATAAACTGTCTCCTAAGGAGTTCATCCTCTGGCTGCTTTTGTTCTAATGCTAATACTGAATTCAGGACATCTCTCCAAGAAAGAGCATATTCCATGAGATTTTTAACTATTTATTTTGAATTTCTACCATCCTGTACTTCATGAATGATAAGCATCAATTTCTGCCTAAACCTCAGCAACAAAGCCTGTGTTTGCCTGTGACAGCAGGTGTTCTGGGGATTCCCACTGTTGAGAAAATAAATTTAAAATAAGCTAGTTTTAAAACTTAACATGTCTTGACTCAAATGCCCTAATTGTGGTTTTGAAATTAGTAATGTATTCTGACTTTTTGACCTTTATTTTACCTGTAGTTACAGCAGATGGTTTGCTAGGATCGTTTGAACTGCCTAATTGGAGTGTGACAAACAAATTACAGGTGAACATGGGAATCTTTTCAGTTGCTGTAGGTGAATTACACTACTTAATGTGTTTGCCCAATGTTTCTGAGGAGTTGGAAAGTATATTTGTTACATTATAGGTCAACTAATGTACAGATGCCTTCAAATACTGAGAATGGGGTCGTGTTCCTGCTCTCACGGCAGTGTTGGGGGCAAATCACACCTCAATTTGTTTGGTCTGCTTGACCTGGGTTGCATCCTGCATCTTTCTTACAATGGGGTGTTAATGGGTCTGCTTGAGTGCGAATGAGAGAGTGGATTTGTATGCAAATGGCCTTTGATGGATTTTCTGGTAGCGCTTTGTAAATATGACGTCACTTTAATGAATAGCTGTGATATTTTTCTTATTTTAAACTATTTAGGGACAGTGAAGGTTTTGTTTCATAAATTTACTTTTACTACTGCTTTACGGACAATTTTACGGTGATGATTGCATATTTTGGTATCACAATCTGATTTGAAGCAGAGTCATCTGCTTGTGCCGTAGGATTAATGCACACAACAGAGGCGGCACAACTTCAGCCTTGGCTTGCAGCAGATAGAACTAGTGATTAAGAGACTGTCTCATCCACTTTGGTATTTTATTTTTGTTTTTATTTTATACTAACACACTAACTGAATTAACTGTTGGTTTATATGTCACATGGGTAACTGATTGGACATGTTGAAATTTTAGCACAATGGGGAAAGTTCCCTATTTTGGTTTTCCACCTCTAAATTGTTTTTCTTTTTGGAAATAAGAAAAACACAGGGGGATATTATAAAGATAAGATATTACTGATAGAACTTTGAAAATCCAAACATCTGTCTATTTTGAATACTGGATGGATGATTTGGAGAAATGGTGGAACATCTTACAATATTTTAGTTTTTCAGCAAATTATATAACATTAGGCTAACATAGATTCAAAATTGTTTTTGAAATGATAATTTTATTATATCAACAGGGGGAGAAGGAGAAATAGACCCTACTTCCTGGTCAATTTTTTGATATGGTTAATTGTAAATTGTTAATCAATAATTTTAACTTTTTCATTCAACAATAGTGAATTATGGATTTCTTTAGGTAAAGAGCCTTTACATTGCCTTCCTGCTTGACTCAAATAATTTATATAATACAGTTTCTTAAACCAGGGAAGGTGATTGTTGGATTGTTGAATCTGTTTTCATATGATTTAAAATAAGTTGTTTAACTAATAATAAACTTAGTTGTATCGAATTTCTCCCCAAAACTGAAAAGGCATTGATAATTGATAAACAATATAAAAAGGGTAATTCATTATCCATTTAAATATTTTATAAATAGGTTTTCAAAAGAATAAATGGATCAAATGTAATAATGGTTGAAATTTTGGGATTTAAAACTATGATTGGAATAAAGTAAGTCATTTTTTATATTTAGTGATACGGTTAACTTTACTCATGTAAAACAGGCTGATCATTCTTTAAGGTTTTAAAATAGAAAATATGATGATTGAAATTAAATTGGTCTAATTTGGAGATTTACAAATGAATAATTATGGAATTGCTTCTAAAATATGGTTAAGGTTTGGGTTCAACACAATGGGAAAACATTTATTTCTCATGTAGGCCTTTTATAAAAAGAGGGTCAAAAGATTGACA